TTATTTTTTTTTAATAATACGACAGGGTGATAAAATTTGATAAGGGATACGTCGTTTTGTAGTGAACCAAAGCAATGCGTATTATATTAAACTGTAAGAATCACTCATATTGATGAATTTAATTTTAAGTTTAATACTAGGACTGAATTTTTTTGACTTGATTAACGGAAATACCAGTAACAGATTAATGATATGAACAAAAAATTAAACGCTCCAAATGATATGTTTTGCAAATTGAGAACTGCAAATACACTGGTTATCATAAATTAAGGAAAAATCACAAAAGTCAAGATTACTGAAAAAGTTACGCGTAGAATTTAATGAAACTTACCCACAAGCTACAACACATAGTAAGGTATCAAATAACATAAAAAGAAATTACCAGACAAATATGGTAGTATAGAAATTAGCACATGTATAAAATGAACAAATCGAAGGTGTCAGTTTGCTATAGGAAAAGTACCTTCAATATGGAATATGATCGCCTCTAGAAACAATACAGCACATACAGCGATGTGTGATGCTTTCAATTATGCGGTCTATCAGTTCCATAGGAAGTGAGAGCCATTGCTCTTGCAAAGTAGTTGCAAGCGCGAGAAGGGTTTGAGGGGGAACTGAGAGCAGCTAGACGTATCCCTAAAGCAGCCCAAACGTGATCGATAGGATTCAAGTCCGGGGATCGAGCTGGCCACTCCATGCGCATAATTGTTTCCTGTTGAAGATAATCATCTACGATGCGAGCCCTGTGTGGTCTTGCGTTGTCGTCCTGTAACAGGAAAGCATTACCTATTGCCCCGGCATATGGGCGCACATAAACATCAAAGATGTCATTTCTATAAATATGAGCATTCACGGTTCCCCTTGGAAAGACATGGAGGTATTTTCGTCCACCCAAAGAGATGCCACCCCAAACACAGACACTGCCCCTTCCGTATGCATATCTTTCACGGATGTTTGACGGATGATAACGGGTTCTAGGTTCTCTCCATATTGTTAAGTTTAGGATTGTGTATCCATAGATCGCCAATAGATGGCGGTAGTGTTTGTTTGTAAAAAGAAACTGTGATGTCAATTATGTATATGTATCAGTTCGTCTTTGGTGTTCGTGAATAAATGTTGTGTGGAAGAACGCTCCTCTGTTTATTACTTTAACTGCGATCCAGTCTGATTTATTAGAGATTTACACATATTTTGTTTACATATCAAATGACGCCTACTATCGCTTTCTAGACTAAACCTGGACTCATCCGTAGAGAACCGGCTTCCATTGATCAGGCGTCCAGTGGACATGCGGTCGTGCCCACTGAAAACGGTCCCTCCTATGGCGTGACGTGAGCGCCACACAAATGGCTGGTCGCCTCGCATACAGACCACCTTCGTGAAGCCTTCTACGCACAGTTGACGTTGACATGAACATTCCGGTGGCTGTAGCAAGGGAGGATCTAAGAAGAGTCGGAGTAGCGGTTCTATTCCTGCGTGCACATAATGTCAAATATCGGTCATCGGCGCTCATCGTAGCAATTGGCCGTCCTTGGCTGAACCTCCTAGATGCGAATCTGTGGTTTGAAATTGCCTCCAAAGTCTATGAACCACAGAAGGACTCACATTGAGCCATCTGGCCACTTCTGTTTGACTTTGCCCTGCCTCTAGTCTCCCAATGGCTCTCCATCGCAGTTCTGCTGGAAAATGATGCATGGAGGTCATTGTTACGAATTGGCTATCTCAGATTTCTGATTTCACTGTCACAGTGAATTATGTGGGCTTGCTCTCAAACATGCACTCTTATGCTCCTCGCAGATGACGTATTCCGAAGGCAGCGCCTCTAATTTGCATATCGCAGTTTTACTCAACTACTCTTACTTGGCAACATATTCAAATTTTACACGATTTGCCTTATTTTTTGAGGGAATTATCGCTATTTTTGTGATTTTTCTTAATTTATGATAACCAGTGTAATATACCACGAGTTCTCGTTTAATTTGCAAAGTTAATTCCAAATTAAGTTCCAGAATCATGCCTAGTTACTTCTTTGATTTATAATTCAAAAATATATCTGTTGATTATTCGATCTTAATAACAAAATATATATCATATGAATCACATCGAATAAGATTTTATTATCAGTTTTAAAAAAAATTAAGCAAACAGGCTTTGATATTTTTTCCTCAAAATAGATTGTTGTGCTACTTTCTGCCTTCACGTTCGTGCGGGGCTCGTAGATTTGGAGTGAATAACGACGACACTTGATGAAGTATCGAAACACACTTTATTTACCAATATTAATCAGGACAGCTCCAAAAACACTTTTACAGTCGTCGAAGATCTACTCTAAACACGCTGGAACAAACAGCGACACAGCCTTCTGGCTATCAGGCTATCACGGTGAAGACAGCTTCACTGAAAAGCGCCAGAGTGCAGCTCCCGACTCTACTCGGTCGTTCTCGGAACTGGACGCACTCTCGAGACTCTCCACACTACAACTCGCGATGCACTCGACGACCACAGAGCACAGATCCCAACTCTTCGGTTCAGTCGTTCTCGGAGCTCAACACGCTCTCTCGACGATGCACTAACCGAGATATACTATTAGACTTTTGCGCTGCCCTCGACGACCCACTCGGCACTCGCTGCCCGGCTGTCAACTCGATTGACTCCGCAGGGATTGACTCGTTAGACGAGACACACTCTGAGATTTTATTTGGATCATTATTATATTTATTTGAATCTCTCTTATTGGAACCAATTTTTAATCAATTGTAGAAACTCCTCCCCTCATATCTAAATCAGTGGTGTCCAACTGGTTTTCCCTTAAGGGCTACTTTCAAATTTCTACTTTCCTTCACCATCACCTCGGGTTTTATGTTTGGAAAATAACATTTCATGAAAATATGTGATTTCGCTGGATGATTTTATGCTCCCCTCCAAAAAAACAACTATGGGTAAACTAATACGAAGTTACAAGCTGAACAAAAACCATTAATAAAACGCATACATAGTTAAGGTTCAAACTAATTTTATTTCAAATTGGAAAATTTAAAAAAAAAATGCATACTAATAAACTATTAATACAGCAAAATGTAATGCTTAAATTGTCAAATATCTAATTAAGTCAGCACCGCATTACATCATTAACTTGTTATTAATGAGATATTTGATTTTTAATCTTCTGTGACAACTTATTAAGTATTCAGCCCGATATTCTGGTACACAGCATGGCTGTACCATGCTGTTTTTCTCATGCTCCGTGTTCAACATATTTCTGTACTTGCTTTTTATTATTATAAGCTGTGAAGAAATCTGTTTACAGAGGTATGCTGACCCGTAAATGCTTTTACTGTTGGAACAAAAACAAAGCATGCTTTTGTATTTAAATAGGGTCTATTAGTTTAAAAACTTTGTCACTTTCATTTTCTCTCATTTTGAGTGTCATATCAGCACAAAAAGTTGCAATCTCTAATACAGCTTGCAATTGGTTAATAAAACAAAATTTTTTTTCATTGATGAAGTTATTTCTAATTACAAGAAGTGATTTACATTCTAGGAAGGTTTTCAGCATGCTTAGATGGATCATATTTCAAAATAAATTCCTGTTTTAATGAGGACAAATAACGGAAAATGTTAACAATCTTTCTCCAATAAGGTTGTTCTTCCACAAATCAATTTTAGTTAAAAAAAAGCAGATATTAAGCTTATCGTTTCCGAAATGTGTTTTACCTTTCCTTGTAATGGTATGTGTAACCTTGTTCCTCCGGTATGTGTAACCTTTACTTGTGGTATTTGCATCTTGGAGTTTTGTAGTGATATCAGTTAAAAATGCCACGTTAGCAAACCACACCTCATTTTCCAGTTTTTGGACAAAAATGGTCTTTGGATATGAGAAAAGTTTTAATCTCTGACGGCTTTCCAACAAATCTTGTTAAAACCTTTCCTTAACTCAGCCACTGTTGCTTAACAAGTAAATTATGGGTTCGAAAATCTGAGCCGACACTTTTAAAAAACCAACATTTATTTTTCACGCCATTTCTTTATTCTACAAAATCTTAAATGCAACTAACTATGAAACAGAAAAGCAGACGTAGACGTAATGCATCTGCGCACGTGATCCTCATGACAGACGAATTCTTTAGGGTTGCCACAGAAAGCACTGTGTCGCCACAATTCTCCATCTTTTGAGTAGACGGCTACACACTCGAAACATAAAACTTATATCAATATAAATGAGAGTTATATAACAAACAAAATTACTTAATACTTAAATCATATTACTTGAAAACAAAATTAATACTGAAGAATAATACAACAATAATAGCACAACAAAATAAATCATAACAACTCAAAGACATGAATTACAATGTTGCAACTCTCAGGGCTACAACGTGCAGGTTACAAATTAAATAATCACAGCAGGGATTATTAATATAAAGATTTAATATGGATATCTCACACAAGCTGAAAACATTACATTTCTCTAAGAACTGCATACATATTTTCTAAGAACTGCATACATGAGTGAAAAAAGGGAATTTCCCCGCTTAGTTCGCAGTTAAAGAAAAAATAAGAATAATAAAAAATAGTCCAATCAGATGCGGCGCTCCTTCTGTTGACCTTCGCCGAACCGTTATGTAATCGTCTGTCTGCAGCCGCCGTCTCCAACATTCTCCCCCTCTTTGAGTAGACTTCAGGTTGGCTCAAAGACATACAGTACCTGGTCAAAGAGATCCAATTTCTGAGGCACCTTGATCACACGTCCAAATCTTGACACTTTAGCACCTTGCAGGATGTTACTAGATTCATTAGAATCTAAATGCTCATCACTAGAAATAGAAGAAATAGGATTAGTAAAAGAGTTATCGTTTATGGGATCAGTGGGTGTGTCCGTTAACTGCACTTCCAATGGAAAAGACTCGCTGAATAGGACGAAGCAGCGTGCCAGCTTGAGTCTTTCAGTTCTACAGTTCTCACCTTGCCATCTTTCCCAGGAATTAGTCGAATGACCTTAGCTAAAGGCTAATGCATCCGTTTTTTTTGATGTCATCTCCTATTAGGACAATTTCACCCAACCGTAGCTCTGACGATGGATTCTTCTTATTTTGGACCAGAAGGCCTAAATATTCTTTCCTAAATCTATGCCTTAAATCATTAAGTAGTTTTTGGCGATGTGTAGCCCTTTTTCGAAGACCTTTCGAATCGCAGAAATCAACATCAGGAACACCTAAGCTACGATTCTCGATGAGAAACATGGCTGGGGAAAGTGGAATTAAATCATCCGGATTTTCCGACAGATAGGTAAGAGGTCTAGAGTTAATTATTGACTCGCAGTCGCACAATACTGTGTACAACTCATCGGTTGTAAGAACCGCGTTACCGAGTATCCTTCTCAACAGTTCCTTTACTACACGAACTAACCTCTCCCACCAGCCTCCTGAAAGCATATCCAAGAGATGCTCTATCGATGCAGAGAGTTGGAACGGAGATGAACAAATGCCGAACACCACTCTGCAGTGTCTGTAAATCATAGGTTCTTCAAGAGTTGGAAGAAAAAACCTCAAATAATCTCTGTGTTCTGGGATAATACTCAGCTGAAGAAATGCTTTTTCTTTGTCCGATGATAAACCAACGGAATACAATCTAAACCTGTCAATTATATCAGGTATGAGTTCAATTAAATTCGGCCCTCTATTTAAACAATCATTTAGGGATAGTTGATTTCTCTCTCGGGCTGAAGAGTCGAACACCGGCCTTACCTTCATTGTCTGGCTAGTATGCTTTATAACAGGTCTATGGGGCAAATAATAACTCAAATTATTAATTTCAGTTTCAGGAACCTTTTCTATTACTTTTAGGTCTTCCCATTGCTTAAAAACTACCCTATATTCATCTAACTGATTTTCCTCATTAATTCGTTGACACATTCTTTGATGCCTTTAAAAGTCATAGACTTACTGTTAGGTAAGAGAATTTCAGATTTAAAGGGTAGTGGCAATTCGTATCGGCCATCAGGAAAAACATTTAAATTCTCTTTAAATTGCTTAACGCTGTCAGAGTGAGCAAGTTTACGTTTAACATCTTCAGTTGGATCTGTTATGCCAATGGCATCTAAATTCCAGAGTTCAGTTACGCTAAGATTAGCACAATGCAACGAAACTACATTATTGCAGAAATTATTTTGTAGTAATGCTGGAATAGTAGCTGAAGTAGGTTCTTTAGATAAGCTGTTTACTTTACCAATCATAGTGTATCCGAATTTAGTCTCAACTACAGTTACACCAGAGTTCAGTTTCAGAGAACTGCCAGTAATAATGTCCCCGATGGCATCTGCTCCTAAAAGCAATTCAATGTCATATTCCTTAGCTTGCAAATCAGACAAGGTAATATTTCTTTCTTTTAATTCTTTTAGGGTATTGGGATCAACTACTTTTGGAACACATCCACATATTTTGTTCTGAGAAAGTACTTCAAAGTTATGGTCATAAGTGCCCTCAAAATTTCTTAAATTAACATCAAACACTAAATGGGAATGAGGACTTGTCTCTCTCCCCTCAAACAAACCGTGGATAATGGTTTGTTTCGATTTAGGACGCAGCTGCAAAAACGCGATAACCCTTTCTGAAAAATAAGATTTCTGAGAACCACTGTCCAAAATCGCACGAACTGTAAGTTGTCTACCCTCAAAAACTATTTTTAAAACAAGTGTTTGCAAATACACATTTTCATTAACAGTTGACTGATTAGACAACACATTACTGGAAATAACAGTAGTGTCAGTTTTATTTGGCTTTATAGGTTCGCCATTTGAGCACATAATGGTATAGTGAAATCTATCACACGTTAAACATTTTACTTTATTTTTGCATGCCCGTGAACTATGTCCAACTCGTAGGCAGCGAAAACAGGCGCCCTTTTGCACCAAAAGCTTTCGTTTATCTTCTACAGACATTTTTCGAGCAGAAAAACATTCGGCAGAATTGTGGGATTTCTCACAAAACATACAACGTAAATTTCGCCTACCTGTATTGTCTTGAACATTTACCAAGGCAGCAGCTGTAGAGCAACCTGGATCATCACAATGTGGACGCGAATGTGTAGAACGTGAAGCTCCCAACCCGGTACGAGCGAGCTTAATCATTTCCTCACTTTGCACATCATTTCGAAGAAAGCACAAAAGTTTATCCAACGAACGCGCACTATCTTGCTGTGACGCAGTATCTTCCATCGAGCGGCTCTTTCCCACGCACGAAGAACAGTCTCTGGTAAACAGGACTCAACAAGTGACTCTAAAAAATCTGAAAATTTTTCCTTAGTTCAACCGAACTTTCAAGAGCCATAAGCTTGCTCTCAAGTAAATCATAAAGTTCAGCTAAATCTACTTTAATCCGACCAGCAGCATTTTTCATTACTATGGAAAGTAGATCCCGTACATAAATTTGAACCAAAAGTTCATCTCTCCCGAAGCCAAATTTACTATGTTGCAACTCTCAGGGCTACGACGTGCAGGTTACAAATTAAATAATCACAGCAGGGATTATTAATATAAAGATTTAATATGGATATCTCACACAAGCTGAAAACATTACATTACTCTAAGAACTGCATACATATAACTGAGTGAAAAAAGGGAATTTTCCCGCTTAGTTCGCAGTTAAAGAAAAAATAATAATAATAAAAAATAGTCCAATCAGATGCGGCGCTCTTTCTGTTGACCTTCGCCGAACCGTTATGTAATCGTCTGTCTGCAGCCGCCGTCTCCAACATACATTATTCGTGATTTTAACAACTCTACCACTACTGGTGGTGAAAGGAACTTGATCATTTTGAGTATTATCTATTATATTATCCAGTTCCAATCTAAACAATCTCTGCATTGGTCTCAAGATCTCTGAATTATTACTTTTTATAAGAGTAACTTTTAGAGTTTTATAAGAGTATGTTGCCATCTCGACCAGGGATCACCTGAATAACGCGTGCTAAATTCCAATATGCACGGTTTTTATTTTGAACATCCAACAAGACAATTTCTCCTACAGAGAGAGGTTTATATTTTTTTAATTTCTGGTAGATTGCTGTCTTAACTGCCCTAGATACTCAGAGCGAAATCTCACTCTTAACAATTCTCTCATTCTCTGGAGATACTTCGCTCTTCTACTCAATTTTTCTTTGTCCACATTGTCAATATCAGGTACCCGACTGTGGAGTTTCATGCAGAAAGTTTTCCGGAGTTAAAGGCAGGGGATCTTCAATATCGTCAGACACGTACGTAAGTGGTCTTCAGTTGACAATTTTTTCACAATCGCACAAGACGGTGAGTATCTCTTTATAACCAAGAGAAGCACGACCTAAAATTTTTCTCAATATTTGTTTTACAATTTGTATTAAACCCTCTCACCATCCACCCCACCAAGCGGCGGATGGAAGATTAAATTTCCATTGTATTCTCTTTTCAGCAGCCTTAGAGCAGAGGCAGTCCCAGTCAATGGTTTGCAGAAATCTCTCTGCACCCACAAAATTTGTCCCATTATCGGAATATATGGTGGTAGGGCTGCACGACGTGCGATAAAACGCCTTAAAGCCTGAAAAAATGATTCAGTTGTTAATGAGGTAACCAGTTCCATATGGATAGCACGATAAACCGCACACGTGAAGAGCACAATATATGATTTTCGTCCATCCTTTAAATGCAAGGGTCCTGCAAGATCACATCCTACGATTTCAAAAATGGCTGAATCACGAACCTTATCATTTGGTAAAACGCCTGGGACTGTCTCACCTCTTTTAGCCTTAAATCTCAGACATGCTACACATTTTTTATACATACAGTTCCTTATAGTTTTACGTGATTTTAAGATCCAGTATCTTTCTCTTAAATGCGACATCAACAATGTAGTACCTGCATGCAACAAATCTTTATCTGCACTTAATATCAATAATTTGACTACTGGATGTTCAGAAGGTAATATGATGGGGAACTTAAGCTGCTGAGTCGTCACGATAAGCAACATTAGACTTAGCTCATATTAGACCCTGACTATCGAAAAATGGTCTGAGTCATCTTATCTTATAATCTGTTTCATCATTAAACGACTCTTTTTGTATTAATAACATTAAAGCTATTTCTCCCCTTTCTATTTCAGATACAGTCAAATCCTTAGAATGGTTGTTATTATTATTATTACGTACATTATTTATAAAACCTGAATATCCACGATAACATTCTTACAATTTTCTTAAATGATGATAAATACTTATAGTAACATCCAATACAATTATCATTCTTTACCAACAGTAACAATAACTGTCTTACATATTTCTGAATTAACTAAATCCTCATCTGGTTCATCATTAGATTTAGGACCAATTTGCCTCATCTTCCAGTAACCAATCAGGTCCCTCCCACCATTTTCGTTCTATTAATTGATCTGCATAACAACCTCTAGAAAGTAGGTCAGCAAGGATTGAGACTACCAGGAGACATGTCGCCATACAGTGGGGGAGGTCAAAGACCTGATTTCCTGTACACGATTAAAAACGAATGCTCCCCAACATTGATTTCGCCTGTATCCAACTTAAAGCCGTCAAGGAGTCAAGGAGTCAATTCAACAAGTGAATACGAACTTCATGTAGGCCAATATCATTAATAACTGAAGACAATAACCTAGAACCAATATTACAAGCAAGAAGTTCTAATCGAGGAATCGTAATAGGTTTTAAAGGCGCTGCTCTCGATCTTGCGATACCAAACTAACCTTTACCTTTTTGCCACTCTGTACTCTTAAAAAGACGCATGCACCATACGCACTTTTACTACTGTCATAAAAGAGATGTATACTTACAGCTTCATTAATAGATTTGAGAGCTACCATCTAGGCATTTGGATACTGGATAGCAAATGCAACTTTTTACGCCAAAACCTAAATTTTTTAGTTAATTTATCGGGAAGAACATCTGATACCTTAACACAGTTATTAAGAATGCCTGTTTTGTTTTCGTCATTCCCTAACTTTGTGACACTTTTTGTTTTCTTCGAAGGCAAATAAGGGCACATAATCACAAACACAAAATATCGATTTTTACATAAGGTACACCTATGTTTAGCTGTGCACTGATTTTCTCTGTGGTTTTGCTATTAAGACACATAAAACAAACATTCTTTTTCTTAATGATATCTTTCTTACATTCTAAACTCATTAAAGATACATCCTTACAACTTTCAGACAAATGGGATTTTTCACAAAAAATACGAGTATCAGACTTTTTATACCTTTGAAAATTTTCATTACACTTACTGTTACTACTATTTACATTAATTAGTTCACATGCAGTTGAAACAACAGGTTTTGTGTCAAAAAACTATCAGAACCCAAAACATCACGGGTAAGTTTAACTCTAAATTCAGTTTCTACTTCCCTTTTAAGAAAATCAATTAATGACTCCAAATCACTCTTACCTGTTGTTTCAGGTGACATACCTCGTTGCCTTTCCCAAATTTATATTAAATCAGCAGGAAGTGCTGATTCCACTAAAGGAAATAAAACAACTGCAAATTTATCGTTAGTTAAACCAAGTGATTCCAATGCGCGTAGTTGAGTTTGCAACTTGTCATAAAGAGTTAATAATTATCATTCTTTAATGATCTGATAATTTAAATCAATGATGATTTAAATCAATGATAAGTCTATCATTGATTACCAGTTTTAATAGCTCTCTAACATATATCTGAATCAAAACATTTTCATTTCCAAATCGTTCTTTGAGGTACTCCAAGGCTTTTTCGTAATTTTCTACTATAGCAGGAAAACTCTCCACTATTGCTCTTAGCGCAGTCTCAGGCTTCATAGATTATAGTAGATAATGAAACTTGTCTCTCTTGTCCATGCGAATATCTTCATGTATTTTACTAAATCTTGTCCAAAACGTC